CAGGGACAACAAGAGTACTTAGAACAGCTCCATGAAGACAGTATCAGGTGCTGGATGCTGCCCAAGGTGACTGAAGCAACCAGAGAAACTTGCACTGTACTGAACGACCTCGTCAGAGACCAGAGTGTGGAATGAGATCGGGGCCAGTCCCTCGCTGTGCAAATTGGCCTCCACAGACAAATTGGCTTCTGAAACAGATTTTGAGACACAACTGGTCAGAGGAAGACTGCAGTCGTCCTTCGGGACATCCATTAAAATTGGAACGATACAGAGAAGATTAGCATGGCCCCTGCGCAAGGATGACACGCATATAAAATAAATATATAAAAAAAAAAAAAGAAGAGTGCAGTCGAATGCCTTGTGTTGATAAAGCTGACACTGGGCAGACGGTAGGCACAACTGTAAAAACAAGAAGAAAAAAAAAGGAGGCACAACTGCCCAGCTGAGCCCAGTCCCCCACAACATGTGGTATGCCATCTGAGCTGGAACACTGGCCAGCACTTGTAGTTATCACACCGTGCAGCTACAGTGTTGAGCACCTTGTTTTCTTTCGGGCAATCTGCGGAATCGTGCTGAACCGAAATACAAAAAGATAAAAAAGTTTTCAGATCCAAACTTTTCGCACACCGAAAGCTGACCGAACTATAGCTTTCCCATGATAGGTTTTGTGCAGGTCCGTAAAATTGATAGGTGGAAAAGAGAGCTGCCTTTACCCGTGCCTTTTCTGCCCTTGCATCCAATTTGCTCGTAGCTGGACTGAATGGTCAGCCAAGCTCCCATTGCCATCCCCTGTCTCTATCGCCATCCTCGGCTGTCATCCCCTGCCTGCATCCCCAACCTCGTTCTCCCTATCCTCCTCCTCCTCCTCCTTCTCCTCCTTCTCCTCCGCCTCCTCCGCCTCCTCCTCCTCCTTCTACTTCTTCTTCTTCCTCTTGCACCTCCTCCTCCTCCTTCCTCTCCTTCTTCTTCGTGTTGGATTATTGGAACCATATTGATGTAAAGCGGCAATATGAAGAATACTAGCACCTGCAATTATAAAAGGAAGTAAGTAATGAAGACTAACAAAGCGAATGTTAACCTAAACCATCTCATTGCTGATATGGCTCGACTTCTGATTCAGCTAGCACTCCTTAGGTTATGAATATCAGTGCATGTCAAAGCAGAGGCCCCAGAAGTCTCACTAGCGCCCTGCTTAGTCCCATTCATCGAGCGTCCAACACACGATCTCCCTCCTCCTCCTCCTCCTCCTCCTCCTCCTTCTTCCTCCTCCTCCTCCTCCCACTTTCCTCATCTTCTTCTTCTTCTTCTTCTCCTCCTAGTTGTGATTTACACAAAATTGAGGTATTTGCAAGGCTTTTAGGCATTGGCAGCCCTAAGTAGAGTCCACCAAGCAAAATCCCGGGCAGCCCTAAGAGAAGATCGCATCCTGAAACGAACTGGGCCCCGATCCAGGTCGTCCAGGTAATTACTCAGTCGGCCCTCAGTCGGGACCCAGACCGGTTAGGTACCTGGAGTGCGATCGAGGCTGGCACAGGCTGCTTTCTGGTAGGCCCAGACCTTGGGCTCAGAAGAGGAAAAAGAATGAGGCCGAGGGCAGTCACACACCAGACAGCAGCAGTAGTGCGCAACAGGACTGTTAGAGCACTTGCATAAGGAGCAAGGTAGCGGCTGGTGCATGCGTGTGCGCTGCCATAGCTTCCTAGGTTGGCAAGCGCCGTGCAGGGGAGAAGATGGTGAGGGGTTGGAGTTGGTCAGGGAAGGAGAGTGCTGGTCAGGACTGACACATGCTTTACCTGGTGCGTAGCAGAGGAGCACCTACGTGATTAGACCCTTCAACAACATCTGGTGAGAGGAGAGTGGAGAGATTGTGCGAGGTAGTAGGCTACTGAGTGAAGGTTGTGTAGGAAGAGTAATGTAGGTGGACACAATATAGCTAGGGCTACTATGTTGTTGTTTTGATTGCTGGAGGTGTGAACAGTGCTCTCATTATCAAGACACTTCAGTGTTCAGTGTGGCCTTAGATTGGTGTGCTCTCGACTTTGTCGAAGTTGGCTTATTACTCATGATAGGTCTTCAATGAGGCTCGCTCTTCTATCTTGAAATTGTCGTGTTTTCATTTGCTGGTTCTTTATCACGGCTGGTTCTCTGGCACTTGCCATCACAGCTGGTGAGTGCGGACTTGTGGTGCCGATGGGTGTCTGTAGGCTACTAGCTGACTTTTGGGCAGCTGGTACACTCATCTGCTGGGTACATAGCGGACGGGCGAAATTTTCCTGGAAGGTATGGCAATGTGATGAGAGTATATTTGCTCATTGCCATTGCGTGAGGCTGTACTGGCATTATATTGTCGGAGGTTCCTCTGAATTGACAGGTCATCAGACGGACAATCATATGTAGTTAGTGAGATAATCTGTCGATATGGGACGCTGGGCCCGGTTCCCAGCACGTTAAAAAAAAAAAAAAAAAAAAAAAAAACTGTCATTGGGGCAGCATCAACTTTAATTGAGTATCCGTAACCTCGTCTATTCTCCACTATTCATTTTTTTATTTTCATTTTTTGGCAAACCACCACGGAGGCAGCTTGAGGTGCTGGTAGGAGCAGTCACTTCAAGCTGGTCCGGGGGAGGCTCCATCTACTGGTGGGGAGCAGCACCTGCTGGGAAATGGGCTCAGCGTCCCAACTTACAGATATCACAGGATTCACAGTAATTACTAATTATAGTATTATATACATATAGGCCGCCTGATGCAGGCGTACATTCTCTGACGTATAGTGTGTATAATGTGAATGTTTCAATGTATATGGATCGGTGCGCTGACTGCTGTCGGAACCCTCGGTTCTTGAATAAAACATCTGCTTGCGACACCCGAAAAGTCTAAAAAGAACAGAATTGTACAAAAGTCTCAAAAGACAAGGTTCAGTAAACTGTGGGCCTTTAAGGGACAAAACGGGACTTTGGGCAATCAAGGAAATCAGAACGTGGCGCTACAAGTAAACTAAAGAATTTGTCCGCGAGAAACAAATGAGTTGCAGATCGACAGAATACTGCAAAACAAAGACGTATAAAGGGACAGTCAAAATAGTAAGATACATCAACCAATTACGGGAGAAGAACGTAAGTTCTACATGCAGCAAGGAGCAAGTATTCAGAAGCAGACCCCTCGACAAGGTTACAGAGTAAGGACAAGACGCAGAAGGGAGCAACAAATAGGACAACCGCCGGAGATGCTTTCACTCGAGAACAAAGCGACTCGAGGGAAAAAAAAAAAAAGAGACTCAAGGGCTACCATGATGCATCTCATAAGTTCTGGCTTCTGGCTCCTGTCGCATCCATCACCACATAACAGGGCAGATATTATGAGCAAGATTAAGACTGGAGTACGTCCTCACAGGCGGTACTGTGGATTAGAAGGAAAGGCAGAACAGACACCACAAACTTTTATACTTCTATCATTTCTATGTACATTTCCATATGGGACGCTGGGCCCGGTTCCCAGCACGTGCTGCTCCCCACGAATAGATTGGAGCCTTAAAAAAAAAAAAAAAAAAAAAAAAAAAAAAAAAAA